GGTCCTGTGGACGTAGGGGTCCCCTCTGTCTCCCAGTGGGGGGCAGGGGCTTGGGAACTAGGGAGGAGCTGGTCGAGGAGCTGCCCTTTGGCCCCCACGACCCCCAGGGGCGGGATCTGCCAGGCGGCCCCCACCCCCAGCACCTCACTTGCTCTTAGGGGCAGCCCCTGATTGTTCTGTTTGGGGCGATTTGTTCGGTGGGTTTGGGCCACGCTGGGCGCTGCCCAGGACTTACTCCTGGCTCTGCACTCGGGGCGCACTCCTGGTTTGGGGGACCACGTGGGGTGCCGGGATCAAACCTGGAGCCCTCCCTGCTGTACTACGGCTCTGCACACACACATACACATGCACATACACATGCACACACACACACATGCACACAGACGCACACATGCACACACGCGCGCACGTACACATGCACACACACGCACAAATGCACACACACGCACACACGTACACATGCACGCACACACATGCACTCACTGCACAGACACACACATGCACACAGACGCACACATGCACACACGCACGCACACACACGCACACGCACATACACATACACACGCACACACGTGCACATGCACACATGTGCGCACGTACACATGCACACACACGCACATACACATACACACGCACACACGTGCACATGCACACATGTGCGCACGTACACATGCACACACACGCACACACATGCACACAGACGCACACATGCACACACGCGTACGCACACACACATGCACACATACACACATATGCACACACGCACACACATGCACACATATGCACACAGACGCACACATGCACACAGGCGTACGCACACACACATGCACGCATACACACATATGCACAAACACGCACACACATGCACACACGCACACACATGCACACACGTACACATGCACGCACACACATGCACTCACTGCACACAGACGCACACACGCACACATGCACGCACACACACACGCACATGCGCACATACATGCACACATATGCACACAGACACACACATGCACACACGCGCGCATTACACATGCACACACACATACGCACACACACATGCACACATATGCCCAAACACGCACACACACGCACGCACGCACACACCCTCCGGCCTCAGCTATTCTGCTGAGCGGGCAGGGAAGCAAGCACCGGAAACATTCCCTCAGCCCAGCTGGGCGGGCACCGAGGCTGCACCAGCTCCGCGGAGTCTGTTCCTGGCCCGGCAACCCCCAGCCCCACCGAGACCCCGGCCAGCTGCCGGGAAAAAGGCCCGTGGAGTCCAAGAGGACTGACCCCATCCCCGCCCGGCCCGGCCCGGCCCCGGGACACTGGCGGAGCTAAGGACACTCACGTGGGGTCCGCAGCTATAATGAGAAAAAATCACCAAAGGAAACGCCCCCATCCATGCCGACGCCCTCCCCCACTCGAGCGGCTTCCTCTGGGTCAGAGACAGGAAACACACCACAGAGATTTCCAGAACTTTCCAGTCCCCACCCCCACTTCCTCACGAGTGTCCCCAGCCCAGAGCCAGACAAAGTTGCCCGCAGCAGCCCAGACCCTCCGCTTCCCGGGGGACCCCAAGGGGCACCCACGAGCCCCAGGCGCACCCTGGGGGCCCAGCAATCTGTGTGCACGATTCCTCACGCCGGGCCCCCACTTCCTGTCTCCCAGCTGGTCCTCGGGCCAGGGACCCGCCGAGACCTCAGAACGGACCCAATCAGAGGCTGGTGGTGGGCTGGAGGCAGGCCAGGTGGGCTTCCTGGAGGCGGGGCCACAGAGCAGGGGAGCCCTCGCAGCAGAGGGGACTTGGGGACTTGGGGTCTTCCCCACCCGGGGCCTCAGCCGCCCATGCCGGCCGCAGCCACACCCAGGAGCCGGTCACACTTCCCCAGGAGGCCCCAGCCTGGTGTGGCGTCCCCCCACGTCCCCCCCCATCCCGCTGGGCTGCGTGAGACAGAACCGGGACCCCCAACAGTAGCCGGAACTCAGAGCAGGGTCTCTGCGGCTGTCCGGAGACCCCCTCTGCCTTCCCATCCAGGACTCGGGGAGGGGGTGCAGCCAGGACCCAGCTCGTGCGCCCCCCGCCCCAAGACCTGCACACAGCGCCCCCACCTGGCACTCTGCTGAATCACACCCACCACTAGAACCCTAGTTCTGGGCCGGGGGTCACAGTGGGGTCCCAGTCCTGGCAGGGGGCTCCCCAGAAGGGTGGGGCCAGTCCGTCCGCCAGCCCAGCATCTCCCGAATCCCTGACCCCGTCCTCCCCCCCCCCCCCCCCCCGCAGGGACCTCTGCATGCCTCAGTCCCAGCACACGGAGCACCCCAGGCCCAGGGCAATCCAGGACAGAGTCAGCCCCGAAGGGAAACACAAAGGACGCAGCAGCCGGTCCCCAGGCACTGGCCAGGGCAGCACCTCCAGGGGGCCTGAGATGCTCTGGGGGCTCCCACATCCCCCCTCCCCCGGCACCCGAGCTTCCCCCGGGAGCCATGGCCTCCGGAGTTACCTCCAGGGCCCAGGGAAGGCGGCACGCCCAGCCCTGTCATGGCCAGCGCCACCAAGCACGTTCTCGGCCCTGACTCCCCGGGCCCCTCACGCCCTGCTGACCGACGCGGTTTCTGCACCTGAAGCATCCGAAGGACCACCAAGGCGAAAGACCAGGACAGCGAGCCACTGGCGGAGGGGAAACGTTTGTGGGAGCCAGGACATGGCGTGGGACGCAGAATACGCAGTGACACGAAACCAGTCCGGGCCGGAGCCATAGCCCAGCGGGGAGGGCGTTTGCCTTGCACGTGGCCGACCCTGGTTCGATTCCCAGCATCCCATAGGGTCCCCCGAGCACCGCCAGGAGTCATTCCTGAGGGCAGAGCCGGGAGGAACCTCTAAGCATCGCCGGGTGGGACCCAAAAAGCAAAACAAAAACAAAGAAATCGACTGAAAACAGGCAGAAGACAGGAAACCAGCCACACCTCCCGGTGGACAGATGCAGACGCTGCTTGGCCGTCCCTAGGGGATGTGGGACTCTCCGGACCCAGGGGCGGCTCCGGGGGGGGGGGGGGGGGGGCACAGTCTGCTTCGGGAGCGCGAGGCTGCGAGTTCGATCCCCAGGGCCGCCCGCACGCACCGGGCAACCCCCTGCCCGCACAGCCTGGAGAAGAGCGAGCACTGTGCTCACGAGGGTCCCAGGACGGCCCTGGCAGGCAGCCCGAGGCCAGACCCCCTCCCCAGCCACCGCCAAGGGAAGCGGGGGCGGGGGAGGGAGTCAAAGGCTCCGGAAACAAGATCCGGGTAAAGCCAGATCCAGGCCTGGCTCTGATGCCGCTCTGGGAGGCGCTTCCGGCTTCCTTCCTCCGAGAGGAAACGGGGCCGCGGGCAGCCCCGCCTGGGCCAGGGCAGCTGAGGCGCCCCTGCCTCCCCGCAGCCCGAGCCCGGGACCCCTCTCCAGGGCCAGAGGGGGCAGCCTGGCCGGGGGGTGGGGGGCAGCTCAGGAGGACCGTCGCCTGGCTTTTGTGCAGGGAGAGGGGCTCCCCCACCGTCCAGGGATCTTGACCCCCCCCCATGGTTAGCACCTGGCGCCCCAAAGCACCCCCTGGGCAGAAGGGGCATCCTGGAGACCCCTGTCCCCCGCTCACTGCCAGGCCCTCACCCTGGGGTGCCCGATTTCCAGCTCTGCACAAGCCTGTTCCCCAGGCATGTCTCCCCAGCTCCCCGCCCACCCAGGGGTGTCACTGCATCCCGTCCCGAGCTCGGGCCGGCTCCAGCTCATTTTGGGAGAGGGGTGGCCGAGATGACAGCCTGCAGAGCCCCTGGCAGCCCCCGCCCTCGCACGCCATCACCGCTGTCCTTCCAGGGGACCCCGCGGCGGCAGTGGACAAGGAGTCCAGCCCCCGTCACTGCGCCTGTGCCCGCCTATTTGGTCTCCTGTGTCTGGGGGCACCTGGGGCAGCCAGGCCCCCCCCAGACCCCCCAAGCTTGAGACGGAACCGAGAGGCTCAGCTCACCCGCCCACAAGAGCCAGGAACCCCCCACAGCATCTCACCCTGCCGCTCGGGGTCTCTGGCTCCCGAGGATGAACCCAGACAGGCCCTCACCTTGCCCCTCCCCTGCGGTCACTAAAGCCAGGCAGGGTCACTAAAGCCAGCAGGTGTGTCTGCCGAGTCCCAAGAGCCTCGGGGACCCGTGGAAACGCGGTGCCAGAAATGCTGGCTTCCTGGCACCGAAGACACACACCCTGGGCACAGCATTGAGGCCTCCAGCACAGGAGCTGGTCGAGGCTGTGCCTGCTGCCACCACCGCACCTGCCCCCTGGCACTTGCCACGGTACCTGCCACAGTGCATGCCACGGTACCTGCCAGAGCACCTGCCACGCCTGCGAGGGCCCGTTTCAGCACCTGCCCAGCTGCGTCTGCTCCCGGAAATGCCGCAGGAGGCAGAGGGCAGGAGGGCGGCACAGGGAGGAACAGAAAGGGTGCGTAGGGGGTGACACACCAGAGAGGCAGCGGAAAGAGCGGGGGAGTGACTGTCCCCCGCAGCCCCCATGAGGCACGGCCAGTGCCGCCTGAAACTAGCCACGGGACGAGCCACGGGACCAGTAGCGGGAATCAGCGGGAATCGGAGCCTGACCCTTCCTCGGTGGGGGGAAGCTGCCAACCCCACCCGTGCCTGGGCAAAGGTCACGTGACTGCACGGCCCAGGGGAAGGGTCCTCGGGCTGTCGGGGGGAGCCTGGCTGGGGGGCTGCAGCCAGGGTCGCTCTCCCCAGCCCAGGAGCCCGCGCGGGCCAGCGCAGTCCCCAGAAGGAAACGCCCAGAAGGCAGCGACCAGTCACTGCCAGGCACTGCGGGTGGGCGGGAGACCCCCACCCCCAGCCCCGCACCCCGCAGCGCCGGGAAGAAGAAAAAGAAACGAAACTTGGCGGCGGGGTGTTGGCTGCGTCCGAGCCCGTCCCGGGGGCCGCCGTGTCCAGGGCTGCCGCGGGGTCCGGCGGCTGGCCGGGCACTCACCCTCGCGGGCCTTCTTCCTGCGGGCCAGCGTGCCGCCCAGCCTGCCCAGGAACGACTCGTCCTTCCTCATCCTGCGGGCCGCCGCCGAGGACATGGGCCTCGGGACCAGCCGGCGCCACGCTCGCTCCAGCCGCCAACGCCGCTGCCTGCCCGGGGAGTGGCCGCAGGACGCGGCCGGCACCGCCCCGCGCCCGCCCCCCTGCAGGCGGCCACTCCGGACTCCGGCCCCTGGGGCCCGCCAGCCCCAGGCTGCACGCACGGATCCGGACCGGGCCTGGGCTGGCCGGGCCGGGCGGCCAGCTGGTTCTTGTTACTACTGCAGGGACACCTGGGGGTGCGGGACACGGTCGCTCGGGGTCAATCTCAAGGCCAAGTGCCCACCCGGCCACAGCGGCGAGGCCAGCAGGCCCGGAACCAAGGCAGTGGCCGGTTCAAGCGTTCCCTGATGGGACGGGGCAGGTGTCCGGGGGAGACCCGAGTGGCCCAAGTGTGTGTAGTGGGGGCATCCGGCATCTGGAGCAGGCACTCAGGGGCTGGTCCTGGTGGCTGGGGGACCCCCACTCCGGGACCCTCGAGATTTCAGGGGAGCTGCAGGTATAAGGACCCCGGGTCTGAGGGGGATGCTGTCCTCTGGCTGTCTCCCAGAGAGGGGCTCTGGGATCTGAGGAGTCTCCCCCTGACCACCCCTAAGGCCTCCGGCTGGGGCCAAGGGCTTAAGAGGACCCGGGGTCACAGCTGAGCTTGGAGGCAGAGGGCAGGCGGCGAGGGAGGTGGTCCTGGGGCTGAGTGGAGGGGCTGACCCGGGAGTTCCTGGGTGGGGGGGGAGCTGCCAACCCCACCCGTGCCTGGGCAAAGGTCACGTGACTGCATGTGGTCCAAGCTCCCCGTCCACCCAGGGGTGTCACTGCGGGGCCGGCTCCAGCTCACCTGGGGGGGGGGGGTGGCCAAGGTGACAGGTGGCCACGTGTTCGATGCTTGTGCTTCATGCCTGTGTTTCTGACCCAACATAACACCAGCGGGCCCCCACTGACGGTAACACAGGACTAAACCTTGATCCTACCTTAAATTCATCCCCGAGGCTCCTTTCCGGACCTTCATCCACACCCACCCCCGAACATTCTGGAACAGTTGCAGGGCTCAGCACAGCGTGCGTGTGGTGGTACACGGTGTTGGGGAGGGGAGTGGAGGGACTGTCCCAGGAGCCCAGGGTTAAGGGGAGGGCAGAGGCAGATGAGCTGCTGGGCACTGAGGCTGGCCCCAAAGCGCCAGATGGCCTGGGCAGCCCGGCCCCGGGAGGCGGGCAGCGTGGCTGGCAGCTGACAGCGCAGGGCCCGGGCTGAGTGTCCACTGCGATCCTTGGGCCGGAGCCGGAGCGATAGGACAGCGGGGAGGACACTTGCCTTGCAAGCATCCAACTGACTTTGACCCCTGGCGCCTCCGAAGGTCCCTCACGCACCCTGAGATTGCTGGGTGCAGAGCCAGGAGCCAGCACTGCCGAACGCGGCCCCCAGACATGAACAAAACCCCCCAACGAGATGCTCAGTGCTTGCTGCGGTTCACTTTGGAGCTTCTGAGCAGACACCACACACACGCCCCAGAGTGAGTGGCCGTGGCCATCAGGTGACCTGTCGGACTGACCCCTGACCTCCGTCCAGCAGGGTCGGCCGCAGAGAATGGGCCAGGCACGCACAGGGACAGTCCAGGCCCCAGGAATGCCTGGGCACGGAGAGGGCAACTTCCTGGGAGATGCAGAAGCCAAAGTCAGGGCCAGAGCCGGCACCAAGGGGAGTCGCGAGCCCTGGACACAGGGTGGAGGTCACCTTCACAGCCAACACTGGACTTCCCCCATCGCGTTCAAGGAGATGGAGAAAGAGTCTGAGTTGGAGACGGTCTAACTCACGACTGAAGGTGACGCAGAGCCGGGACGGGCCTGGCTGGGGAAGGGCCCTGGGGTGCCGCTGAGCTGGGACCGGCCTGGCCCAGTCCCCGGGCTGCTCGCGCCCCCTGCTGGACAGAACCGGACCTTCCTCACGCAAAGGCTCCAGGTTTGCAGCCGCTTCCACACGAACCAGGTCCCGGCTGCAGCTGCACAACCGGGAACAGCAACACACACACACACATAGACACAGACACACTGACACACAGACGCACAGAGACACACAGATACACACAGCCCTTCTGCCCTGGGGCAACACACACACACACAGAGACACTGACACACTGAGACACACACTGACGCAGACACAGACGCACAGACACACACACAGATAGACACACACACAGATACACACACATAGACACAGACACACTAACAGACAGAGACACATACAGACGCACCGACACACACACAGAGACAGACACACACACACAGCCCTTCTGCCCTGGGGGAACACACACACACACACACAAAGACACACACTGAGCCCTCCTTTCCTGGGGCAGTGACATTATATACATACACGCACATATAGACACAAACATGTGCACACGCATACACACACACCCCGACCCCTCTCCCACAACTGAGAACAGTAACACACACACATGCATAAACACACACACCCCGACCGTCCTCCCACACTCAGGAACAGCAACACACACAGAGACACACAAAGACATACACACACACACACACACACTGACCCCAATTGCTGGGAGCACTCGGCCGTGGGGCTCAACTGAGGAGCATCAGCTGTGAGCGTCAGTGCACACACAGTTCCCATGGACAGACACTCGCATGGGCAGACACGGGGGTGAAAATGAGCCCGTCCCCACGAGGGCATCCGCACACACACACTGCCGACACTTGAGCGGCTGCTGTGGCCTGGCTGAAGGGGGGGAGCGGGGCGTCGCTGGGCTACACCCAACGACTAATGCGGGCAAGAAGTGGTGAGGCAGCCCCTGGCGGGAGCCGCACTTTCTCCCCTGCAGGGCCGGGCTGTCCGGGCCTCAGTGAGCGACTCGGGTCCGAAGGCCCAGCTGCTGTGCACACTGGGGACGGAGGGCGCAGAGACATCCCAGCAGGGGGCGCTCTTACTCCCGCCTCCGCTCACGGGCTCCCCTCCAGAGTGACTGACTGGGAAACAGTCCTGGTGCCGGAGGGACAGCTCGGGGGCGGGCACTCGCCTCGCCCACGGTCATCCCAGGTTCAATGCCCGGCACCCCCCGAGTTCTGCGGCGCTGCCAGGAGGGAGCCCTGAGCACAGAACCAGGAGTAACCTCTCAGCACCGCAGGGTGGGCCCAAACACGGAAGAGGTGAGACATGTTTCGGCAGTGCTGGCCAGGCCAGCTGTGCAGTACCTGCCCTCTCCGCAGAGGAAGACGGTATTGGGCCTGGGAACGTTCTAGAACAACTCTGGGTGCACAGAGCTGGGTCCTGGTGCTGGAAAAGCTTGCAAGGGAAAACGGGAATTTGGGAAACGGGTGTCCACGCCCCTCCCCGACAGGCTGGCCGCTCCAGTGGAGGTGCCCCGAGTGAGGGTCCGCCCTCGCTCCAGTCACGCCCATGAGGTGGGGGGCACTGATCTCCTCGGGTTGGGGAGATGGGCAGAAGGGCTGGGTTCAGCCTGAGCACTGGGCCAGGAGTAGCCCTGAGCACCACCAGGCCCAAGGCCGTCCTGGGCACCAGGGACCCCCAGGAGGAGCCCCCTAAAAGCAGCAACACTTGCCCTGTTGGCGGGCGAGGGCACCCCCACGTCCCCCAGGCAGGCGGCAGGAAGGGCCAGGGAGGGGCGTGGCCGGGGGCAGGCATCCCCAGAGCCCCCAGTTTGGAGGCGGGAGGGACTGTGGCCATGGAATGCGGCGAGGGTCGCCCTGGACCTTGGAGGCAGGACAGGCCGGGCAAGCTCTCCCTGAGCCCCCCGGTTCAGGACCCCCCGCAGGGACACGGCGGCGCTGCCCTGGGGCCTGTTGATGGGGGCCCGGGGAGGGGGGCAGGGCCGAGGGCGGAGGAGACGGGAGAGCGTTTGCTGCAAGTTTATTGTACGGTGCCCACGGGCCGGGCTGCTGCTCCTACAAGAACCGGATCCCGGCTCCGAACTGGACCCCATCACAGATCCTGCAGGACAGACAGACAGACAGGCAGAGTCAGTACCCCCCTGGCTGCGGCCCCAGCAGGGACGGGGCCGCCACAGCTCTGACGCCCCCCCCCCCGCCCCGGCCCCAGTGGCAGGGAGAAGGTCCTTGTCCCGCGCCGGGGAGGCCGGTGGGCAGCGGCCTGTGAGCTGGGCGGCCGGGGCAGGGACATCACTGCCCTCGGAGGTGCCTGCTGCCTGCAGCATATAGAGGGGGCAGCACTCCCGGGGCCCCAGACCAGGAGGCAGGACGGGCTCTGGGGGGTCCTGAGGGGAATGAGGAACATCAGGGGGGGTCCAGCCACCGCCGCCCCCTCCCCAGCGCCCCGTTCGGCACTCACACAGCGCCACCTGGTGGCGACACTGTGCAGGACAGTCAGAGCGCGGCAGGGGGCACCCCAGCTGGGCGGGGCCGGGCTCCCCAGAATCTGAGGGTGGGGCTCCCCAGCGGGGGGGGGGGACAGAGCTCTGAGGGGTGGACCGCGGGCACAGGCGGAAGTGGGGTCTGGGCCACTTGGGTGCCTGCACTGCCCAGCGGGGAGAGGCAGACGTGGGGCCATGGGGGTGGGGTGCAGAGTGGGAGGGTCTTCCGTGACCCCTAGAGCCGGCCCATGGCCTCGGCTCCTGACAGCCCCCCAACCCCCGGCCGGGGTCCACAACCCCCCAGGAGCAGGACTGAGCTTGTCTGCGGCGGCGTGGCCCAGCCCTGGCTGACCACTCCGGGGGGCGTGAGCGACAGCACTGGGGCCCACCTGGGCGGCACCCGTGGCTGTGCCCCACCCACAGCAGGGGCTCGTCCCCCCACCCCGCGGCTGCCCACGGGCACCTACTTGTCTCCCTGCTGCACGCCCATGGGCACGCAGTAGTTGAGTTCCAGCCGCGCGATGTTGCCCAGCCTGAGGACGATGCCGGCGCCGTAGGACCAGCGGATGCACTCGGCCAGCTTGCGCAGGTGCGCCCGGGGGCCCTCCCCTGCCAGGCAAGGCAAGGCAAGGCGGCTGACCCGGCCGCGTGGCCTCGGGGGACCCCCGCGGCGCCACTCCTGGGGTCCCGGGCCCAGACACGCACCCCGACTCCTGCTCCCAGGCCTCCCAGGCCTCCCTCGACGGATGTCCACTAAAGGCCACGCGGGGCCGGGAAAGGATCGGGGCTCCACACCCGGCCCGCGTCGGCCCGAGTTCGAGCACCGCCAGGAGCAACTCCCGAGCACAGAGCCGGGAGGGGCCCCCCAGCACGACCCAGCAACCCCCCCCAGGCCTGTGGGCGCCCCCCGCCCCCCGCGCGCGGCCCACCGTAGTTGAGGTTGCACAGGTTCCCGGCGTTGAGGAAGAAGTGCGTCCGGAAGAGCTCCCCGAAGCCGCCCTGGCCGGGCCGGAAGGGCAGCGGCGTGTAGAGGTGCAGGCCGCCGGCCCAGTACGCCTCGCCCCCCAGGTAGTCTCCTGGGGACGGACCCGGACGGAGAGGACGGTCAGCCACCCCCTCCCGCGGCGGCCCCCGGGGCTGCCCCGCTGGGACCTGCTTTAACCCAGTCAGAGTGTGCACGTGTGCACATGTGTGTGAGTGTGTGTGCATGTGTGGGAGTGCATGCGTGCGCCCATGTGCACGTGCGCAAGGGCAGAGATGAGAGTGCGTGTGCGCACGTGTGAGTGTAGAGCCGTGTGTGCGTGGGCGTGGGCGTGGGCGTGGGCGTGGGCGCATGCGGGGCCCTGGGTCTCCCGGCACCCCGGGGCAGGCCCACCTTCGCTCTGCGGGCCGACGCTGTGCATGCTGAATCCCCGCACGCTCGTGGGTCCCCCGAGGTAGAACCTGGAACAGAGGATGGGGTGGGGGGTGGGTGGCCCAGGAAGTTCTCCACGCCGCGCAGGACACGCCGCGGGCCCACCATGCCCGGGACCCTCACCAGCACCGGCCGGCCCCCAGCCCACTGGACACTCCGGGGGGGGAGGACGCTGCCAGGCGCCGGACGCTCACCTGTCGGCGATGCTGGACGGTTTGTCCCCGATGGGCACCAGCATCCCGCCCCACAGGGAGGCCGAGAGCACCTGGCGGGAGACGACAGCTGATGTCACCGGGGCTGCCGCGGGCTGGCCGGGGAGGGCGCGTGGGGGGGGCTGTCTCTGGCCTGGGTGGGATCTGGGGAGCCAGCCCGGGCGGCCGTGTGCGAGGCACCCCCAGCTACGGCCTCTCTCTGCCCACTCAGTAGACACGGGGGCCGGGCAGCTGTCCCGGGGCCCCCAGAGCCTTCCAGGCGCCCAGTGCTGAGCGAACAGAGACACAGGTGCCTGGACAAGCTGGCTCGACCGGCAGAGCAGATGATGAGAGTCGGGGTCCCCAGAGGTCTGCAGGGACGCCTGGCAAGGCGGTGACAGGAGGGACAAGGGGTGCAGGACCCCCCGCCACTCAGCAATCTGTCTGACCGGGCGCGGGCCCTCACCGTATCCAGGATGCTCTGTTTGTTCAGCTGCAGCTCAAAATCCTCCTTCAGGAAGCTCACGTCACCGCCGGTGTAGCCGGCCAGCTCCTGGGGGCCGAGCGTGGGAATGAGGAGCAGCCCCGGGCCCCCTCTTGCCCCCAACCCCCGCGCCGGGCCGCCCACAGACCTGGTTGACCTTGAGCAGGGCACCCTTGCGGGGCAGGATGGAGGAGTTGCGGGAGTCGATGACCATGGCGTGCTGGAAGAGACGGCACAGGGTGTTGGCGGGGCTGCGGGGCGGGCAGGGGTCCCCCGGGGGGTGGGGGTGGGGGGCCGGAGCGGCCCGGCCCTTACCGAGAGGGACGACTTGAGGGAGTGGCCGCTCTCCTGGCGCACGGCGAAGGACGCGGTCCTGGCCAGGCAGCCCAGCTCCCGCCAGACGCCCTCCCACTTGACGGTGTGGCTGGTCCTCCAGATGGGGAACTGCGGGGGGGAGGGGCGGGTGGTGAGCGGCGTGGGGGGGTTGTGGGAGGGGGCAGCAGCCCAGGGCTGGCGGGGGGGGGGGGGGGGCACTCACGCTGTACTCGGCCGACAGCCCTCGGTCCGTCTCCCGCAGGGAGCTCCAGGGAAACTGGCCCGTGACTTTGTACAAGTTCACGGAGAAACTAGGAGACACAAGGGGGAGGGACGGGGGTCAGCCGAGGACCCGCCGACGCGCGGGTGGCCACTCCCGCCCCCCCCCCCATCTACTCGGAGTCCGGCGGCCACCGCTGGGCTCCTCGGGGGTCCGCTCGGCTTCCTACTTTCTCTCGAAGTTCCCGGGCTGCGGTTTGAAGAAGGACAGGCCGTACGAGGTCTCTTTGGTTCCGTAGGAAAACTGGAACGTGACCTTCTCGGCCCGGCCGAGGACATTGGGGAGCTTGAGGCCCAGCACCTGGGGGGGAGGGACACACGTTGCGGGGGGCTGTCGCAAAGGAGCCGCGCCCGGAGCCCCCGACTCTGCGCGAGCCCAGAACTGCCGCTGTGTCCTCGGAGGGCACCGCACCGAGTGGACACACGCCACGGGTCTGGGGGCCGGTGAACAGAGGAACTGTCTGCTAGGAGCACCCCCCAACCAACGCCTCCTGAGCTGCTGTCCACGTGCTCCCGCTGAGCCGCACGACACACGGTTCCAGGACGGGCCAAGGCAGCACAGCGGAGACGGCGTTTGCCTCGCACGCGGGTTCGATCCCCGGCAGCCCAGAGGCTCCCCCGAGCACCACCAGGAGTCATTCCTGAGCGCAGAGCCTGGCGTGACCCCTGAGCATCGCGAGGTGTGGACCCCCCCCCCCAAAAAAAAAAAGATTCCAGGAAGATTCTGGAAGAAGCCAGGGGGCTGCTACGAAACAAAACTAAGTTTAAGTTGCGTGAGTTTGAAGACTGTCTTCAGAAGATGATCTTTCCTTTTCTTTTTTTTTCTTAATTTTATTTTTGTGGCGGGGGGCACACCCGGTGATGCTCAGGGCTGACTCTCGACTCCGACTCAGGAATTTTTTCTGGCGACGCTCGGGGAACCCTGTGCCAGGGACTGACCTCGGGCCTGCAGCGTGCAAGGCGAGCGGCCTCCCCGCTGTCCTGCCAGCCCCGACCGTCTCTTCCTGGCGGTGCTCGGACGCCCAGTGGGCTCAGCCGGGACCATCCTGGCGCTCGGCCAACGGTGTGTCATGTCAGGGAGGGACCTGCGGCCAAGTGCTCGGGCCCCCGGGCACCTACCATGCTGCCCTCGTTGTTCCCAACCATGGTGTTGTAGCTGCCCGTCAGCCTCCGGAGCTCTGTGACCTCGAAGGTGACGTCCAGCCCATTGGGAAGCGCGTCGTCGCCTGAGGCCAAACGCCACACTGTCAGCCAGAGGGCCGCAAGCAGGCCGCGGTTCGGCGGCTCGGCTCTGCTCTGCTCCACGCCATGCCCTGGCCCTGCAGGACCCCTGCCTCGGGCTCAGGAGGCTCGGGGGTCCCGCTAGGGAACTCCTACTTGGGGCTCACCCCCCCAGCCCCAGGTCCTGACGACACCGCCCGCCCACCAGCCGCCCTCACACCACCGATGCCCCTCTCGGGGCAGTTACCCCGCCCGGCTACCTTGGCACGTGTCGATCAGGACGTCCACTTGTCTGAATATCCCCAGCCGGAGCAGCTTCTCGCGGGCCTCGTGTGCTCTGCGCATGACCTGCAGGGGCCGAGAACGTTCCTCCCAGGGCGGGCCGAGGGAGCCCCGGCCTGTGGGAAGGGCATGCGCAGAAGTGGAGACCGTCCTCCGAGGGGCCGCTGAGAGTCGGGGCCCTCAGCCAGGTGCCGGGGGCGGGCGGGCTGGGTGGGGACAGGCAGGGGGCTGGTAGGGTGCCGGGCACTTGCCTCGATCAGGTTCCGCGCCTTGAACACGCCTCCGATCTCGCACATGATGATGTCGTCCTTGGTCCTGCCCAGCCCGTCAAAGTGCACGTGCTGGACCACCACCTGCGGGCGCATGGGGACAGCTAGGGACAGCTGGGGACAGCCCCAGGGGCCTCCCGCCTCCTCCACACGCTGTTCGCCTCACTCACTCTGCCGCGGCCTGGTCTCCTGGGCCAGCCCCAAAGCCTGCCGGGACCACGACCCCTGGCCGCAACCACAGCACGAACCCACAGGGCCGCGGCAGCACCAGGGGCTGACCCAGGAGCGCCTGTAACGAGACTGTCCCTCCCTGCAGTGGGACTGACTCTAGACACAGCTCGACTGACGCCGGCTGTCGTGCCACTGTCTCGAGATATAGCGTGACTGCCTGGCTGTCGCCTGTTTCTGACCGGAGGGTGGCTGTTCCTGGCTGCAGTGCCACTGGCTCCAGCTGTTGTGCGACTTGGCTCCGGTTGTGGTGCGACTGACCCTGGCTGTCGTGTGGCTGTTTCTGGCTGACTCCACCCCAGACGCTAAGCGCAGATTCCAGGGCAGGGGCTGGCCTCTGAGGACACGCGGCACAGAACACGAAGACCACCAGCTTGGGGGCTCTGGGCGCCGGCAGGAGGGGCCTGACGTGCAGGGGACAGGGAGGAATCCGGAAACTCAGAATGCCTGATGACCGGATACTGCCCTAAGCTCTGAACTCCAAAATCCTGAAGCAAGTCCCGGCCCCAGGATACTCACATCTTTGTTTTCCAGAATTTCCTGCTTCGCTTCCGGTTCTACTCCGACAAACTCCGCTTCTTCTCCTAAGCCCCCGAACTCGGGCCCGCTGGGCGGAAGCGGCTCCAGGCTCTGGGGGGGAGAGCACACGGGGAAACTGAGTCTCGGCCATGCAGGAGAGGGGACTCGCTCCGGGGCCTTGCGGGCCTGTGCTGCGAGACAGACTTAAAGAAACACTGAGGCGGGCGAGGGGTGGCTGGAGAGGGGCAGCTCCTGCTTCCGCCCGGCACCACTGATGGCCCCAGAGCACCGCCAGGGAGCACCCCGGCAGGGCCGGGAACAGCCCGAGCACCACATGGTGGGGCCCAGCACCCCATGCCCCCAAAAGTACCTGGCTGCAAAGAAGACAGTCAGCTGTGGGGGAGAAAGTGTCTGCACGACCCACACCTGACACAGGGCGGTCAGGCCAGACAGAAACACTCGGAACCACCAGCACCAGCCGGACCAGAACCGGCTGCCACGAGACTGACCAGAACCGGCCACTGTGAGCCCCCGAGCTCGAGGTGGCACTGGCCCCCATGGGGACCCCAGCCCAGAGCCCGCACCCCGTCCCAGAAGCCCCCTCCTCGTCCCACCTGCCCGGGCCCCTCAGGGGCCAAGCCAAGGCTTCTCGCCCTGGAGGTCCTCGGGCGGAGGCCGGGTGGGCAGAGGGACAGATGGCAGACGGTGGCCGTCACTGCGCAGGGCTGGCGAGGACCGTCAGCAGGGCTCAATGCGTGGCTGCCTTATGGGGGGGATCAAGTCGCTGGGTTGTGGCCAGAGGGCTGGGCAGATGCCGACCCCGCCGGGCTTGGAGCTACACCCAGAGGCGCTCAGGGGGATTATTTCTGACTGTTCTCAGGAATCGCCCCTGGCATTGCTGGGCAACCATGAGAGATGCTGTGTCCATCCGTGTGGAAGGAAAGTGACTTATCTGTTGTCAGATCTCTTTTTTTTTTGGGGGGGGGGGTCACACCCGGTGATGCTCAGGGGTTATTCCTGGCTCTGCACTCAGGAATGAGTCCTGGCGGTGCTCGGGGGATCCTGTGGGATGCTGGGAATCGAACCCGGGCCGGCCGCATGCAAGGCAAATGCCCTCCCGGCTGTGTTATGCTCCAGCCCCCTGTCAGATCTCTCTTTTTTTTGCTTTTTGGGCCACACCCAGCGATGCACAGGGGTTACTCCTGGCTCATGTACTCAGGAATTACCCCTGGCTGTGCCCAGGGGACCATATGGGATGCTGGAATCGATCCCGAGTCGGCCGCGTGCAAGGCAAACGCCCTACCCGCTGTGCTATCACTCCAGCCCCATAGCCTCAATAATTTAAAGTATTTTTATTTATATTTTTTTGTTTTGGGGGTCACACCCAGGGGTTACTCCTCTGGCAATGCTCAGGGAACCATATGGGATGCTGGGACTCGAACCCGGGTTGGCCGCATGCAAGGCAAACACCCTTCCCGATGTGCAACCACTCCAGTCCCAGTGTTGTGACTTTTGTCTATGTAAAAAAAAAAAAAAAAACCTGAACCACTGCTCTACTTCTCAAAACTATTACCAAAGTGCTCACATGCCAGCAGGGGCTGGGGTGGTGGGGGTCCCGGCTCTGGGCACGCCCACCTGAGCAGAGAGGTACAGCCCTCACTCTGCCCTGCCAGGGACGAGCCCCAGGTCTTGAGGCACGGCAGAGGACAAGGACCAGCAGGTACTGCCCTGTCGGGACTGGGACCAGGGCACCCGGGAGCCCACAGCCTGGCGGAGCCGCAGGTCTCAGCGCTGAGACGGTCTGGCGGGGTCCCAGTTCCACCCGGAGTGACCCCAGAGCAGAGCCAGCAGTAGCCACCAAATACCACTAGGTGGCGCCCAAGCCCGCAGACCCCCTTCCCCAAAGCCCAAGGTCCGACGCACCCACTGGCACTGTGCATTGGTTGGTGCTCAGGCACCCAGCCTGGCACACGAGGGAACAAGCAGGTCTCTGGCCGCCCCCGTGTCCCCGGCATGCTGGGCGAAGGGTCGGGGGGCTAGCTCGAAGGCCCAGGGCACATGCTTGGCATGGGGGACATCAGGGCCCGATCCCTCCATGGTGGCCCCAAACAGTGATGGAGCCCCCAAACATTATCCAGGGTCTGAAGAGCGGCCGGGGAGAGGCGTTTGGTGAAATAGGTGAAGATATTTAGACTGGGGCTGGAGCGATAGCACAGCGGGGAGGGCGTTTGCCTTGCACGTGGCCGACCCGGGTTCGATCCCCAGCATCCCATAGGGTCCCCCGAGCACCGCCAGGGGTAATTCCTGAGTGCAAGAGCCAGGAGGAACCCCTGAGCATTGTTGAGTGTGACCTAAAAAGCCAAAAAAAAAAAAAAAAAGAAAGAAAAGAAAGGGGCTGGAGTGATAGCACAGCATGGAGGGTGTTTGCCTTGCACACGGCCGGCCGACCCAGGTTCGATTCCCAGCATCCCATAGGGTCCCCTGAGCACCGCCAGGGGTGATTCCTGAGTGCAGAGCCAGGAATGGCCCCTGTGCATCGCCAGGTGAGACCAAAAAAAAAAAATTAATAAACTAAAAAAATATATATATATATTTACACAGCTCAGCCAGGCGGTCAGCAAGGTTTACTGAGCCACCCATGCCAGGCGGCGGGTGCACACACTTCATCAAATCCGTCTCCACAGGGAGACAGGGTGGGCCAGAAGGAAATACCGAGGGGCACAGCACTGGGCCCTACAAGCACAGCGGGGAGGGCGTTTGTCCTGCACACGGCCGACCGGGGTTTCATCCCCGGCATCCCCTAGGGTCCCCCGAGCACCGCCAGGAGCGATTCCTGAGTGCAGAGCCAGGAGGAACCCCTGAGCCTCGCCGGGGGTGACCAAAAAGAAAAAAAAATGAGAGAGAGAGAAAAGAGAGAGAAAGGGAGGGCGGGAGGGGTTCTAGAGGGATAAAACCCTCCTTAAGGGGCTTGCCCTGCACAGAGCTGACCCAGGTTCGATCCCCGAAACCCTATATGGTCCCGGGGGGCCCCGCTTGGAGTGACCCTGAGTTGCAGAGCCTGGAGAAAGCCCTGAGCACTGTGGGAAGGAGAAAGGGGGAGAAGGCCAGGGGACAGGAAGGGAAGAAAGGGGCTGGACAGGCCAGTGGGCGGGGCCTCCGGGTCTCCCACAGGCCAACTTGGACTTGGCGCCCCCCACCCCCACCCCACCCCCACCCCTTCTGGTCCCCGAGCCCCTCCGGGAGTGACCCCTGGGCAGAGGCCAGGGGGGAAAAAAAAAAAAAACAGCTTCTCCCGGCCAGCCCTGCGAGCCACGACAAGGTCCACCCCGCACCGGCCAGCGAAGCCCGAAGGTCACTGGTTAGGGGAGACGGGGCGGGCCCGGTCCACTGGCTCGGGGCGGCGGCAATTCCAGGGTCAAGGGTCAAGGCCAGCAGCGCCAGCCAAGGCTGCAGGAACTCAACGATCGATCGATCCATCGATCCATCGATCGATCGGAGACTCCGGGTCCGAACCTGAGCGCCCAGAGGAGCCGGGGGGAGGCAGGAGGACCCCCACCCCCACCCCGACCCCCGACCCCCGACCCCCGACCCAGGCAGAGGGGAGTTGGGACAGGGAGAAGGGGCGAGATCCGAGGTGACGGGGGGCTCGGGCACTCCGGGGGTGGGGGGTCGCCAAGCCCCGCTCGGGGCCCCCCGCCCGGCCTGGCAGCGAGCAGGGCCGCGGGGCAGCGGGCGGCGCCCGGGGTGACCTTGGGGGGTCCCCGGCGGCGGCGGCGGGGGCGGGGGTGGGGTCGCGCGGGGCCGGCGGGGGAGGCGACGCCCCGCGCGCTGCCCCGGGCGGGCCCCCGCCCCCACCCCCGCGCCCGCGCCCGCCCCCGCCCCGCGCGCGCCCGCGCCCCCCGCGCCGCCCCCGCCGGGGTCCCGCCCGCCGCGCCCTACCCGCGCGTGCACCGTGCCCATGGCTCCTCCTCGCAGCGCCCAGGGCCCGACGGGCGACGACGCAGGAGCGCGGCTCGGCGCGGCGGCCCACGGAGCCCGGCGGCGCGGCACCCACAAGCCCCGGACGCGCCGCGCTGGGGGCGGCCATGATGCCCGCCGCGGGCCCGCCCCCTGACCCCGGGCGCCGCCGCTCATTGGGCCGCGCGAGCAAGTCACCCGGATGTGCTCCGGGCCGCGCAGGCGCAGAGCGGCCGACGACGCCCCGGGAGGGGCCGGCTTCCGGGAGCGGGGCGACGCCCGAGGGCGGTCCGGGGCGGCGCTGGGCGTTGCACCCCGAGGGGAGCCTGGGTCGCACCCGTGCCGGCGCCCGGCCGGGCCCCCCCACACCCCCCCCGCACTCTGGAATAAGCCTCTCACTGGGGTCTCCTGTCCCATTTGTTCATTTTTTTGCTTTTTGGGTCACACCCGGCGGTGCACAGGGGTCACTCCGGGCTCTGCACTCAGGAGTCACCCCTGGCGGTGCTCGGGGGACCCTAGGGGGGGACGCTGGGAGTCGAACCCGGGTTGGGCGCGTGCAAGGTGTGCTAATTGCTCCAGCCCCCTCCTGTCCCATTTAAATCCTGGCACCTGGGGGGGGCGGGGAGCGTCCCTGGCCCCTTCCAAGAGGCGAGAAGTGGCCCCTGCAGAGCCTGGTCCTGCCCCCAGCACTGCCTTGGGGTTAGTCTGTGCTTTCCCGTGGCTGGACCCCCTCCCCCCAACCCCAGGCCCCCTCTGCAAGGAGGGCTCCGCCCGCCCCAGGGCAGGGGGCTGCAGAAGGAGTTTGGAGGCTCGGACTGTCCCCAAGCAGGTGGGGGTGGGTGGCAGGGGCGGGGTAGGCTGCCGAGCACCCACCGGGAGCCCCCCAGGGCCCCCGCTCTGCACTCAGGGTGCCTCGGTGCTCGGCTCAGAGGCAGCCAGTGCCATCTCAGCACCTGCCCTGTGCTCTCTGCAGCCCCGGGGTTTGCACGTCCTGCCCCGGGCACCCTTGCGAGCCTCTCTGCCCTTGGGGTCCGCGCAGAGCCCCTCTAGCTCAGCCATCGGCACCCCGGATGACCCGTGCTCCCTCCCCCAGGGTTTCTCCGGGGCGCCCCTGGAGCGATGGTGAGCATCGTACCCGGGGCCTCGCCCTGCCCCGCTGCCAGGAGAACCTGAGACTCGATTCTCCCTCCTGCCCGGTTTCAGAATCCCTAGTCTGGGGACTGGGGTGACAGTACAGGGGGCAGGCCGGGGCTGGAGCCCAGGCACCCGGTGGGGCCCCCAACCCCCAACCCCCGCCAGGAGTGATTCCTGAGTGCAGAGCCAGGACAGAGCAACACGGGGTGTGACCCCCCAAAATGATTTTGTCAATCAGATTTATTACAGACTGTTTAGTGAGGAGTTACACGTTCCTGCGGACGCTGGGGAGACCTACTGGAGGGGGGAGCCCCGCGAACGCCCCTCATAGCTCTCATAGTGGCGCACACACACTCACACACACGCACGTGTGTGCATGTGTTTGCATGCGTACACCCGTGCGTGTGCACGACCGCATGTATCAGCATGTGCATAGGTGCCTGCACGCACTCATGCGTGGTGTGTGTGTGTGTGTGTGTGTGTGTGTGCGCACACGTGCGCGTGACGGGGGTGGGGTGGATTTTTGTCTTTCAGGCTGTTCCAGTCAGATCTCGACAATCGCACATCCCGTGTGAACCCTCACAAATGTCTCCTCTTTTATACAAAACTCCCAAGTACCCGGGCTGGGTCCACAAGGCATCACAGAGCAGCACTCAGGAGCACTGTCCGTCCCGAGCAGGGCTGGGGGCTCAGTGCCAACAGGGGGGACATGGAATTCCCGACTTCCAGGCCCCTAGACGGGACCAGGGCCCTGCCCCGGCCACTCCAGGCCCCTCTGTAGGACACAGGGAGGCCGAGGGCTGGGGGGCCCCGGGGGAGACCCTCCCCGTGGTGTCTGCACTGGGGTCGCTGGCCACTTCCTGTCGCACTTCAGTGCTGGGTGTCCTCGGCCGGTCGGGTGCTTTGGTCTCGGTAACACTGTCCGTTTGGCTCAGCTGCAGGGACACGTCACAGCCACGGCCACCTCGCCGCCCGGAAGGGCCCAGCCACCCTTCGAGAACACGCTGGGTCTCACCTCCCTGGGGGCCTCAGAACGTCTCCGCAGGACACGGCGGGGCGCAGAAGTCGCCCCCCACCCCCGCAGAGACCCTGCTGCCCAGCAGGGTCTGGCTGGCCTAGAGCACCGCGCGCTGGGCAGCCTCGACTTTGGACCCCACTGGACAGTCCCCAGGGCCAGCATCAGAGTCCAGTGGGGGGTAGGGAGGACAGCGGCGCCCTGGGGGTTCCGGCGGGTGCTGGGAAGGCTCTTGGCCACCAGGGGGCGTCTCGGATCTGGAGCAAAGACAGCCGGGGCTCAGTGACCTGCCTCTGGGGGGCAGGCGGGGGGAGGGGGAGCCTGGGAGGACACCACTGGCCCAGCCCAGAGGCTCAGCCGCTGAGTCAGCGCCCATCCTGGTCCCCACGGGCACGAAGGAGCCCTAAAGTTTCTCCAGCCCCTCCAGGGCACCCCTTGCCCGTCCGCCGCCCCCCCTTCCTGCAGCCTCTGGGCTCTGCCCCCTGCTCAGGTCCAGTTGCCGGCCTGGGCCCTGAGACACAGCCCAGGTCACGGTCCCCACATGCAAACCAGAACCCCTCCCCCACTTCACCCCAGCAGCCACCACACCTGAGGCCCTCTCTGGTGGGGCCCCCAAGTATGCCACTCTGGGCAGGGGCTCCCCGCAGTCCCGGGAAACACCGTAGGAGCACAGGCCCCGCAGGTGTGGGGGGGGCGTGGGTCCCAGCCCCAACTGGGAGGGACAGACGCCCCCAGTCTCGGGCACGGCGGACACCGTGCGGAGAAACAGGCCCTTCCGCTCCCGCTTGTCCTCAGAACTCAGACAGGAGCCGCCTCCAGGCTTGGCAGTGACATGGGGGGAAGGGGGAGCCCGTGTCTGACCAGGTGGGACCCACACTCGCGGCCACTGCCAGCCTGTCCCCGCCCTGTCCAGATCTCTCTTTGCTGACTGCTTCAGCAGTGACCGGACCCCCCCACCCCCGACTCACACTGGCGGCCTGACCCCAAGCGCCCCCTCCCCCGCACTCTGAGCGCAAATTGGGCGAGGGTCCCGGGTCTACCTGGCCGCGGGGAGCAGCCGCGTGAGCACTTGGGAGCAGACGTGGGAGGCGGCCCAGTGCAGCCACTGGATGTCATCCAGGACGTCGGGGAGCCACGTCACCAGCCTGCGGGGAAACCAAGACACAGGCATGAACGCACACGCACACACACTGCACACGCATGAACACAGGTGCGCACACGTACACGCACACGGCACGCGTACACGAACACACACGCACATGCACGAACACACGCGCACGCTCACACGCGAATGTGTGCATGAACACAGCACATGGCCCGTGCACGAACACGTGTGCGCGTGTATGAAGCTATGTGCTCGTGCGTGCACGTGTGGGAGCACGCCGCACGCACGTGAACACGCCGATGCATGGACACACGTGCACATACTGCACGCGTGTGAACCTATGTGCGTGCACACACACGCGTGTACACACTGCACATGTGTGAACACGCATGCAGGCACGGTCTCCACGTGGCAACAGAAACCAGAAATGCTGCAGGGGTGGGTGGCGGCAGTGCCCTTTTGCCGGGACAGCTGCCCCCCGGGGTGCCACGGCACATTCACCCTGAGGCGCGCCCAGAGCTGGAGCTGGGGACTCACACCCCAAAGTGGGGCTCTCTGGACTCGGGGGAGGCTCCCGAGATTCCTCTGGCGAGGGAAGGACCGGCCGTGGGTTCGAGCACCACTTGTCACCGGCAGCTGTGGTCACTGAGCGCAGCACCCCGCCAGGGGCCGGGAGGGGGGTGCGGCCCTGCCCACTCCCCCCACCCCCAGGCCGGCGAGGAGCTGAAAAGACCTGGCATGACCCCTGCACACACCAAACACCCACTTCCGAGCCCCCAACAAGTGCTCAGACAGACGCCAGAGCAGCGGGGGTGGGGGGAAACGGGTTCGAGAGCGCCCGAGGTCAGGCAGCCAGGCTGTCTGCAGGATGGCCCCGGGGGGAAGCTTCGCAGGCAGGAGACTCTGAGTTGGGTCCCCAGCGCCGCCCACATGCCAACCTCGGTCCCACCTGCCCCCGGGGACAGCACAGCCGTGTGCACTGCCCCAGCCACGGGACAGCAGAGGGCAGCGGGGCCGGTCCGTTTGTTTGTCTTGTTTCATGTGCTTATCATTGGGCCACACCTGGCTGTGCTCAGGGATCACTCCTGGCAGGGTCGGATACACGTGGGCTGCTGGGGGTTGAACCCAGGCACTAACTAACTGTGCTGTCACTCGGGCCCTGGGGACGGAATTCTTTTGGTCGTGGTTGTTTTGGGGTCACCTCCAGCAACATTCAGGGTCGACTCTCCGTTCAGGCTCAGTGCTCCGGGATCACTCCCAGCCGGCGGTTCTTGGAGGACCAGACGGGGTGCCGGGAATCGAACCCGGCTTGGCCTCGTGCAAGGCCAGTGCCCTCCCGGCCGTGCTCTCCCTCCCGTTCCCGTGGAGACAAAATCCTTTGACGACTTGTTTCAAGCTGGACGAGGACCGGCTGCACTGAGTCAGCCACACAGAAGCCGCCAACCCCCAAGTCAGGGTGACGCAAGGGAAGGGTCAGCCCTCCCGCGCACTCACCGCTGGGCCACCCCGATGGCCGACTCCAGGGGCAGCGTGGTGTAGGACAGCACCTTCACGGGCAGGAGGTTACGGAACCTATTCAGGTACCCGTCGGGCTCCCGCAAGGCTTCCCGCATGGCTTCAGAAAAGCGTCAGCAACGTCAGAACTCCACGCTGGGCCCGGGGGTGGGGGGCCTCGGGGCGCCCGGCGGGAGAAGGGGCTGGGGACAGCAAGGAGGACGTGTCCCCCCCCCCCATGGTGCCGGCAGCCCAGGAAGCCCCCAGACCCAGGGCAATCCAGGGACTGTGCTTGAAGTTTTGGACGCCTGCACCCCTGGGGGTCTGCGATCCCCCCACACACCGGGGAGCGATCCGGAGACCCCAGAGGCCTGTATTCCGGGGGGCTGCTGGTTCATGCAGCTCTGAGGGGGTCGAGGACTGGGCTGGGGGGGGCTCTCATTCAACTGTGAATTTCTCCACCGCCCCCAGCGCCGTGGCTGTGTTGTGTCCTGACGGGGTGACACGGTAACACCCATCCAGGTGAAGGAGATGGACACAGGGTGACCGGGGCAGTGCGGGGCTTTGGCGGGGGGCCCCACTTGTTTGGCTCAGCCTAGCTGGGAGAGGCCTGAGGGGCGCAGCCCCGCCCCCTACTAAGAAGCCCCCCTCCCCCCTCCCCCCCGTGGCCCTCACCCATCGTGAGCTTCGGTGACAGCGTCTCCACGAGACTTTCGAGACTCTCATTCCAGGGCAGCAGGGGGGCCTGCAGGTGGTCCAGCAGGGGGTCCGGCTTGGGGCTGGCCCCGGGCACAGCTGGCGGGGGACTCTCTGGGCCCCCAGGGGCCGAGTTCCCAGAGGAGAGGCTCAGGCCGGGTTGAGGCCTGTCACAGATGCCTGTGGAGGAAGCAACGGAAGCCCACCATGGGGGGGTTGCCGGGCAGGGGGGAGCCCCCCACAGACAGTGCAGAGAGGAGGGGGGCGGGTACCCCAGGAGGTAACGCAATCCCCACAGGAAGGGCAAAGCTCTTCACTGACAGATTCTGCCCCATGTGCCCAGCAGGGGAGCGGCACAGAGAGGGTGAGGGAGCCGGGAGAGCAGCACAGCGGGATGGGGCAGCACGGGACTCGAACCCAGAGCAGCAAGGGCAGTGCTGCCGAGCCCAGCTCTGAAGGCAGGAGGAGGCTCGGGGGCTGAGGTGGCTGTAGCCGGGAGGAGTCCAGCGTGACTCATGGGTCAGTACAGCACATGCCCCTGCGTATAGCAGTGGCCGGGCCGAGGGGTAGGTGCTGGCCTGCCCGTCGGGGACCCCAGTTCAAATCCCCGACAGCGGGCTGGAGTGACGGCACAGCGGGGAGGGTGTTTGCCTTGCATGTGGCTGACCCGGGTTCGAATCCCAGCATCCCATGGGGTCCCCCGAGCACTGCCAGGGGTAATTCCTGAGTGCATTGCTGGGTGTGACCCCCCCAAAAAAAAACCATTCACACACTCATGCACTCACATACACACTCACATACACTGTTACGCTCACACTCATGTGTGCGCGCACACACACACACACACACAGGGGCATGGGTGGGGCTGTGGCCTGGACCCCCAGAGCACAGAACTGCGAGCCCACCCGGCCGCTGCCTGCAGAGGGGCCCAGAGTACGCCTGGGTCTGGTCAGGGAAGGCTGACCCCACGGCCTGCGGAACCCACCACTTCGGGCTGGCAGAGACGCAGCCCGCCCCCAGGGACGTCCCCACGAGCCCCTCACCGAGGCGTGAGCTGGCCCCACTGGACACAGGGACACCCCCGGGGCATCCGCAGGGCCCACAGGTGGCTGAGACGGTTTCGGAGGGCGCAGGCCACAGCTCACCTGGCCACCTCCCTCACTAACAGCAGTTCCCCGGGGGCAGGGGCAGGCCCGCACCCACGGGCCCTGGAGGTGGAGGCCCCAGGCCTGGCTGTCCAACAGGGACAAAGGTGACCCAGACTGGAAGCGAGGCCGGGTTGGGGCACTGGGTCTCCCGAAAAACAGGTTCAACGGTCGCGGGTGCCTGGCGCTGCACTCACCCTTCTCCTCCAGGAACCTCAGGGCATCCAGGTACCCCTGGAAGCAGATCTCCGCCAGCACCTGGGGGTCAGCGGCATCGCAGAGGGGAGGGACAGCAGCGGTCAGCAGCCTGCGGGCCGGCTCCCACCACCGCCCCCCCCAGCACTCTGCAGCCCACCCGAAAACACACCAGGGTCTCCTCCTCCCCCGCCCCCCTCCTTCCTTCCCCTCCTCCTCCCCCTACTCCTCTTTCCTCCCCCTTCCCCTTTTCTCCTCCTCCTCCCCCTCCTCCTTCCCTTCTTCTTCCCCTCCTCCTCCTCCTCCTCCTCCCCCCTCCTCTTCCTCCTCTCCCTCCTCCCCCCTGCTTAGTCCTCCTCATGAGCCCATTCGGTGCCCCTGCAGACCAGGTCTGCCCTCCCCACTCCCGGTCTGTCTCGGGAACTGGTCTGTGGGACAACCACCTGGGCCGGACTTGCCTGCCCATCTCGCCCCCCGCAGGGGTCTGCTCGGCTACACAGTCTGCACACATCCCCACCACCATGGCGGGCGCGGGTGGGGGCGGGAGAAGCTGGTTCCAAGTGTTGAGACACAAGTTCACCGTGTCCGGGGCGCTCTGTGCCATGGGACAGCGTGTCCACTGCCCACGGGCTGTCCGGCAGGAACAGGCCGAGGCTGGAGTCCCCCACGCACCGTGCTGGCCACAGCCAAGCGCTCATGTCACGGGCTTCAAAGGCTGCTGTGCCCACGGGGACCACGGCCTAAGGGGCACAGGGCCCCGGGTTCCAGTCCAGACCCTCTGGCCCTGAGGGAAGTCTCGGGTAAGACTCTTGTCCTGTGGGTCTCTCCCCACACGCCTGAGATACGAGGACAGGGACCAAGAGATGGGACACTAGTCGGACGCTGGCCTGGGGGCGCTGCCCAGTGTGACAGGGTCACTCGGGTTCCCAAGCACGGCCAGGCAATGGGGAGCCCCAGAGAGGCAAGGGGTCACCAGGGAGACAAGGGGTCCCCAGGAAATGAGGTTCCCCAGAAAACGAGGGAGCCCCAGGGGACGAGTGTTGCCAGTGCCCAGGGCCTGAGCCGTGCCACTTGCTCCCGAGACCCGAGTCCAGTTGGCCAAGACTCGCCCGAGGGGCGTCCAGGGCTCTGAGCGCTGCTTGGGGGTGGGGGGCGAGAAGGACGGGCACTCAAGGGGCTCGGGGAACATGGTCCGGATTTGCACCTGCCGGACACGAATTCAATGCCCTGAGCCCCGCCAGGAGCGACCCTTGGCGTGCAGAGGCAGGAGGAAGCCCCGGGCACCAGGCGATGTAAAATAAACTCAATGTCCAGGGCATGAGAGCCGGGGCGGGAGGCAGGGCCCATCAACCATGGCGGCACCACCCAGACCCATGGCCCCCGCTGGCTTGATGGACACCACCCTGCAGCTCGGGTTCCCTCCCCAGGGACGGGAGCGGACCGACTCGAGTGTCCAGGTGCTGCCACCCGCCCTCAGCGGGCTCTGCCCTGCTTTGCTGTCTGCTTGGCGGCTGCTTTGTTTGGGTGGTTCTCTCTTCTGTTCTGTTTGTTTGGGGTCACACCCGGCCGTGCTCAGGGCTCACTCCTGGCTCTGCACTCAGGGCTCACTCCTGGTGGGCTCAGGGGACCCTCTGGGATGGAACCCGGGTCAGGCAGTGGGAGACCAACGGGCTCTCGGCTCTGCTGCTCAGCCCAGGCCAACTTGGTGTGTGGGGAGCATGACCCACGATCTCCCGGCAGCCAGGGCCGCACCCGGCACCCTCCACAGCACACACACACACACACACATACATACACACAATGCACGCACATCACACATGGCATGCATACACACAAGCACATGCATACGCAGGCACATACACGCACAAGCACACACAAACGCATTCAAGCACACCCGCATACATATACACAGGCACACACATGCACACACACACACATACACACAATGCACGCACATCACACATGGCATGCATACACACAAGCACATGCATACGCAGGCACATACACGCACAAGCACACACAAACGCATTCAAGCACACCCGCATACATATACACAGGCACACACATGCACACACACACACATACACACAATGCACGCACATCACACATGGCATGCATACACACAAGCACATGCATACGCAGGCACATACACGCACAAGCACACACAAACGCATGCATATGCATTCAAGCACACCCGCATACATATACACAGGCACACACATGCACACACACATGCACACACGCACACATGCATGTATACACACACACACGCGCGCGCGTACCTTGAGGTCCGGGGGGAAGAGCGCAGCGCTGAGCAGGAAAGCGTTCTGTGCGCAGACCCGAAAGCTGAGTTTGGTGAAGTCCACGAACAGGAAGTTGGTGGACTTGGCCTTCGGGCAGATGTCCTGCTCGCCGTAGAAGGGGGACACGGTGATGGTGGTCTTGGCCTCCGAGAAAGGCATGTTGTCACTGGCTCCCCCGTCCATGTAGCGCTTTGGGGGGTGGGGAGGAGGAACACAGCCTCGTAGGCGCTCTGGAAGTGGCTCTGGACCGCTGGTTTGCTTTGGGGCCAACCCCGGCGGTGCTTGGGGCTGACTCCCGGCTCTGTGCTCGGAACTGACTCCCGGCTCTGTGCTCAGGGCTCACTCCCGGCTCTGTGCTCAGGGCTGACTCCTGGCTCTGTGCTCGGGACTGACTCCCGGCTCTGTGCTCAGGGCTGACTCCTGGCTCTGTGCTCGGGACTGACTCCCGGCTCTGTGCTCAGGGCTGACTCCTTAGTCTGTGCTCAGGGCTCACTCCCGGCTCTGTGCTCAGGACTCACTCCCAGCTCTGTGCTCAGGGCTGACTCCTGGCTCTGTGCTCGGGACTGACTCTTGAGTCTGTGTTCAGGCTCACTCCTGAGTCTGTGCTCAGGGCTGACTCCCAGCTCTGTGCTCAGGGCTGACTTCTGGCTCTGTGCTTGGGACTGACTCCCGGCTCTGTGCTCAGGGCTTTCTCCTGACTCTGTGCTTGGGAATGGCTCCTGGCTCTGTGCTCAGGGCTGACTCCTGAGTCTGTGCTCGGGGCTGACTTCCACCTCTGTGCTCAGAGCTCACTCTCGGCTCTGTGCTCAGGACTCACTCCCGGCTCTGTGCTCGGGGCTGACTCCTGGTGGGCTCAGGGGGCTCTCTAGGCTGCTGCAGACTGAACCCACTTTGGCCACATGCAAGGGCAGTGCCCTCCCTCCCCGCTGTCCTCTCACTGACCACCCCGTTTCTCCGTTTTTCCCCTGCAGATGGGTGTGTGGGACCGCCTGCAGCAGAGGGCAGTGCCCCGGGGCTCAGGATGCGTCAGGGTGCCAGGCCCACCCCTGGATGGCGACCCTGCAGCTGGCCCCTCTCCAGGGGGCAGTGCCTGGCCTCCGCCCCCTTCACACGGGAGCACCCAGAGTGGTGTCCCTGAGCTGCTCGGGTCCCCAGGTCACTCCGGGGGACGCAGCCTGTCAGGTGGGGTACAGGGACCAGACAAAGCGACCAGAGCATCACCAGTGCCTCCGTCCCAAGCACAGTGGCCGGGCCGCGGGGCCTCAGAACGAGGGCCCCATCCCCACCCCGGCCCCCAACCTGGTCCTGAGCGCTCGCACGGTGCCAAGGACAACGGACAAAGCCCCTCGGGCGTGTGAGGCCAGGGACAGGCACCGCCGGGGGACGCTTACCTCGCCTCGGAAGGAAGGAGGAAAGATGCCGCAGTAGAACGGGATGAAGCAGGAGCAGACCAGGGCCTGTGGGTTCGAGAGTGACGTGAGGGTGGCTCCGCCCCCCCACTCCCTCCCGTGGCCATGACCCACCACCCCTTGGAGCTGTGACCAGGCTCAGGCGCTCTGGGCGCCAAGGCAGGAGAGAGCAGCCCGGCCCACCCCCCAGGCTGCGTTTTTTTTTTTCTTTTTGGGTCACACCCCGCGATGCTCAGGGGTTCCTCCTGGCTCATGCACTCAGGAATCACTCCTGGTGGTGTTCGGGGGACCCTATGGGATGCTGGGAATCGAACCCGGGTTGGCTACATGCCTGGCAAACGCCCTCCCTGCTGTGCTATCGCTCCAGGCTCACGCTGCGTTTTCGGCGCTGGGGGGTTCCTCCACCACACCACACCCAGCCCGGCCTGGCCCGGCCCGTTTCTGCGGGAACCACGTTTGGCCACCACAGCCAAGGGCTCGCAGAGAGGCAGGAATCTAGATCCAGGCTTCTCCGGAGCTGACTGAGTGGCCTGATGTCCACTGGAACAAGACCCTCCCATCTCCCGGGCCTCAGGTCAGCTGAGGGTCTGCAGCCAAGCAGGGTGCCCGGGGGCAGCTGCGGCCACCTGGAGCAGCCACAGGCCACGGACAGGAGATTGCGGGAGTGGACAGGACTGGCCCTAGGGACGGGAAAACACCCAGACGCCAGGCCAAACCCACAGTGGCGTTGAGATGCTAGCTCGTGCCAGGCGGTGGCCAGGGAGACCAGCTCTGGCCGCCCTAAGGCAGGCCCAGGAGACGGGTTACACCTCGGGCCCACGATCTCAGGTCGGCCAGGCGCACGGAGGTGGGTGCCCTTCAGGAACCTTAGTCAGGAACCATGTGTCATGGGGGAGGGCGAGTGGCCAGGAGCTGTGCTTGGAGGGATCGTGAGATAGGATCGGACGCTACAACTGACCAGGAAGGGGGCCGGAGCGGAAGCACAACAGGGAGGGCGTTTGCTTTGCAAGTGGTCAACCCGGGTTCGATCCCTGGCATCCTATAGGGTCCCCTGAGCAACACCAGGAGTGCTTCCTGAGTGCAGAGCCGGGAGGAACCCAGAGCATCGCCGGGTGTGACCCTAACCCCAACACGAGCACCCCTCCCCCCCGAAGCTATCACTCGGGTACAGGGAGCAGCGGCCCCGGCGTCCGTGGAGCCCCACAAAGACCTTTCTCTTACGTCCACAACTTCGTCTTTGGAGTGGAAGTCGGAGACCAGCACGTTCTGGCCGTCGGCCACCCTGGTGAGCGAGATGGCCAGCCGGCCGGACACCAGCTGGTGCACGTTGTCGGGGAGGTTCTTCTGCAGCTGCCCTCGGAGGAAGCGGCTCATGTGGAAGGCAGGGTGCAGGGTGCCCAGGTTCCGTCTGCGGGCTGCGCGGACCATGTCCAAGATCGAGTACACCACGCGGTCTGCGGGGAGGGGACACAGGCACGGGACACTGCTGACCTTGGCCCAGGCCTGCGCTGAGAACCCGGCAGCCCCGGGGAGGCCCCCACCCCCGCCCCGTGGGGCCACGTCCCAATCCACAGCGGTTAAAAAAAAACCACAAAACATGTTGGCTGTCCAAGACGCTGCACAGAAGGGACGAGAAGCGTCTCCTAATGAAGGGTGACGCTGGCCAGAGAGACGCATAAGGGGCCCCCACACTCGCCTGGAAGATAACAGCTGGTGAGGCGGGAGGGAGGGACGGAGGGAGGGAGGAAGGAGGAAAGTGAGGGGAAGGAAGAAGGAAGGAAGAAAGGAGATGAGAGAGGGAAGGAAGGAAGGGAGTAGGAACAAAGGGAGGGATGAAAAGAGGAAGGAAGGAAGGAAGGAAGGAAGGAACGAAGAGAGGAAGGAGAGAGGGAAGGAAAGAAGGGAGGGAAGGAAGAAGGAAGAATGGAAGGAAGGAAGGAAGGAAGGAAGGAAGGAAGGAAGGAGGGAGGGAGGGAGGGAGGGAGGAGGGAACGAACGGAGAGGAAGGAGAGAGGGAAGGAAGGAAAGAAGGGAGGAAGGATGGAGGGAGGAGGGAGCGAGGGAGAAAGATGCAAGGGCCTTGCCTTGCACAGCGACTGGCCCGGGTCCGGTCTGCGGGGCCACACGTGGTCCCCTCAACCCTGCCAGGCCTCGCTCAGAACCAGGAGTTCCCCTTGAGCCCAGCCAGGTGGGGCCAGAGGTCAACATGGGGCCGGGAAGGACAGCGGGCAGGGCCTTGCCCTCCCTGGCCCCGACCCGTCTCTGGAGCCCACAGTGCTCCGAGCACTCCCAGAGTCCGAGGAGAGTCCCCAGCACTGCGGGTGGGGCCCCAAGACCCCCAACGCACACGAACGAGCAAATCATGTTGCGACTGGTCTGGTCAGATCCAACGTCCAGCAAACCCTGCTCGTCCCGGGAGGCCATTCCCGCGGTCTTGGGTCTGTTCGGACCTGACGCTGTATAGGTGGACACTATTGGGGACGAAGATGCTCTCGGCCAGCGTCAGGCCACTGTCGGGGTGGGGGCTCCCAGGACCCCCAGAACCCAGACACGGGAGCGTCAGGTTCCGGCAGGAGAACCCGGCGTGTCCTTGTGCCCAGTAGCTGCCACATCAGTGACCAGACCAACGTCAGCCCCTCCCGGCAGCGGCCCAGGCCAGGGGTGGGCAGGGCTGGCCCGGCCCGGCTTCACGCCTGCTGCCCGTGGCCTGAGCCCTCTGTTCTCTCCGGCTCTGGCCGGCTCAGCCCGGCTGCCCTGTTGAGACACAGTCCGGAGACGCCCCTTGGAGGCTCCCAAGAGAGAAAAAAAGGCTGAAACGGGAGCCTGGCGCTCCTGGACCCCCGCCCCCCACACACACATCCAAAACGCTTTTCAAGGACTAACTAGCGGGTGCAGCGGACCAGTGCGGGCCTGGCAGTGCCCAGCGCTGACCTCGGGCCTCCAGGGCCCTCCCTGCCCTTTGCTACTCCCGCACAGAGAGGGCAGTGGGTGGCCCCAGTCAGCCCAGTCTCGGCTCACAGCGGCTGCCCAATGGCGAGGCAGTGCCCGCTGGACTGGGATCAAAGTCCCTCCAGGGTCCTCCCTGGAGCCAGGGCCAGGAGCCAGAGCCAGATAAGGAGGCTCTGATGACCTTATCTGCATCCGGGCACAATGTCCAGGTGTCAGCACGCCAGCCCCGCAGGGGGGCCCCAGCTAACGGATGTTCCTCTGGGCCAAGATCCAGGCACCCAGAGCAGGCAACCCAGCTGACAGAACGGACCGGGTTTGGGGATGTCGGCACCAGACGCAGAACTTTCCCCTCGGCCCAGAGAGATTCTTCAGCTGCAGCTGCAGCCGCGGACCTGGGCCCCGGGGAGGCGCCGGGGAAGGTGCCTTCTTGGGACACAGGCCAAGGAAGCTCCCCGAGCAAGTGGGGGTACACACCCTGGGTCCCTCCCCATCTCGCCCTCCCCCGGGTCCTCTCTGGCCTGCAGACCCCCAGCACGCCCTTCTGAGAGAGTCCCGGGAGCACAGAGCCAGAACAAAAGCAGAAAGTCGGGCGCCACAACGGTTAGGGCTGAGGACAATCAGTATAATCAAGGGGGCGCGCCCGCACCCCCAAACCCCACTCCCGGAGGTGGAGGGAGGGAGCGCTGGGAGGGGCTGCAGCCTGGAGCTGCTCAGAGGGTTCCTGCGCCCTCCCCCCCCCCACCTCAACCCTCCCCCCCCCCCCCCCCCCCCCCCCCCCCGCCCTCGCGCCTGCAGCCTGCACGCCCTCCCCGGACCCCTCCAGCCTCCAGCCTGCAGCCTGCGCTCCCTCCCTGGGACCCCTCCAGCCTGCACCCCGCGCCTTCCCCGGGACCCCTCCAGCCTCCAACCTGCAACTTGCGCGCCCTCCGGGGACCCCTCCAGCCTCCAGCCTGCAGCCTGCGCGCCCCCCCCCCGGGGACCCCTCCAGCCTCCAACCTGCAGCCTGCGCGCCCTCCCCGGGGACCCCTCCAGCCTCCAGCCTGCAGCCTGCGCCCCCCCCCGGACCCCTCCAGCCTCCAGCCTGCAGCCTGCGCGCCCCCCCCCCCCGGACCCCTCCAGCCTCCAGCCTGCACCCTGCACGTCCTCCGGGGACCCCTCCAGCCTCCAGCCTGCACCCTGCGCCCTCCTTGGGACCCCTCCAGCCTCCAGCCTGCAGCCTGCGCGCCCTCCCCGGACCCCTCCAGCCTGCACCCTGCGCCCTCCCCGGACCCCTCCAGCCTGCAGCCTGCAGGCTGCGCGCCCCCGGGGACCCCTCCAGCCTGCGTCCTGCACGCCCTCCCCGCCGCGCCCCTCCGCCGAGCCCGCGACTCACCCATCGGCATCCCCGCCAGGAAGGTGACGCAGTGCAGCGCCCCGGCCGAGGCGCCGTAGAACATGCGCGCGTCCCGGAGCAGGTGCGGGGCGCGCTCGCTCAGGCAGCGGGTCACCCCCACGTGGTAGACGCCCAGGAAGCCGCAGCCCGAGAAGGACAGGCTCCAGCCCCGCTCGGGGTCGTACATGGCGCGGGGCCGGGCGGCGTCGGCGCGGGGGTCCCGGCCGCAGGCTCGCGGGCGCGTCTCTCCGCGCGCGCTCTGGCCCCGGGGCCGCTCCGCGCCGGCCAGGCCAGGCTGTCCCCGCGTGACGTCACGCGCCCCGCCCCGCCCGCGCGGCCCACGCCAGCGGCCCACGACCCGCCCACGGCGCGGCCCGCCGGGCCCCGGGGTGCCAGGACCCGGGGTGCCAGGACCCGGGGCCGGTGCCCGGACTTTCCATCCCTGTCTCGGCCGTGGTTCTGGCCCTGGCATCCCCAGGACCCCAAGTTTCCGCTTTCCCGCCGCGTCTGGTCTTCTGTCTCAGCATCGCGGATGGGAGGGACCTCGAGTCACCGAAATTCAGAGTTTTCACTACCAGGAAAAAGCGGGGAATGATGGGGGTGGGCGTGGAGTGCGCCGGGACCCGAGTTTTTTCCTTATTTTTTATTATTATTAGACAGAGACATTACTGGGTCCGCTTGAGCAAATCGACCAACAACGGGAGGACAGTGACAGTTCATCTATTTAGTTTTGCTTTTTGGGTCACATCCGGCGATGCTCAGGGGTTCCTCCTGGCTCATGCACTCAGGAATTACTCCTGGCGGTGCTCGGGGGGCCCAGTGGGATGCTGGGAATCGAACCCGGGTCGGTCGCGTGCAAGGCCAACGCCCTCCCCGCTGTGCTATCACTCCAGACCTACCAGGCACTTTCTAAAAACTCACCATCTTTTCTTCCCCCACCCCCTTTTCTCCCCATCTTTTTTCTTTTCTTTTTGGGTCACACCCAGCGATGCTCAGGGGTTCCTCCTGGCTCCTGACTCCGAAATCACTCCTGGCAGTGCTCAGGGGACCATATGGGATGCTGGGAATCGAACCCCAGTTGGTGGCGTGCAAGGCAAATGCCTTCCCCGCTGTGCTATTGTGCCAGCCCCAAGGACCCGAGTTTGCTGCCCCTGGACAGGGGTCAACTGTGCCCTCCTGCCCCCCTCCATCCATCGGGGCCAACTCATCACGGCCCTGCTTGTGTTTTGTGGTCACAGCCAGTGGCGCTGTCCTGGGGGTCCTAGAGGTTTAAATGTCCGAATGGACGCTCCCCGTTCCCAGCCGCAGAGTCTGAGCCCCAGGGATCCTGTGGGCTGGGCAGGGGCTGGGACAGGCGAGGGGGTCCGAGACTGGTTGCTCTGAACACAGACACCCACCACAGGGGCCCCAGGATGCCTATGGAAATTCTCACTCCTGTCCCCTCTGGGAACCTCAGGGCGAAGGAGCTCGGTGGGGGCCTGGGGGAGCTCTTCCTGCCCCCTGGGGCCCGCCCGGTGAGGGACAGACTGCAGGATGGGGGTGGGGGTGTTCCTGCCCACTGGACACTTAGGGTGCAGCCCCAGGTGTCTGGCTGGGCAGGACCCAGCTTCCGGCCTGCAGCCCACACGCCGCACTCCTGATGCGCGACACCCACGCACATTCGTGGCCTCTGACAGGGGTGTCCGTCCTTCCTGAGTGACCGGAACATGGGCAGAAGGTCAGGGCTGAGTGGCCACTTCCTGTCTCGCGTGGTGGGTTGACCACAGGCTGACGCTGGCCTGATTCCCAGGGACGGTGAATGGGTGTCCCCACACCCGCGCTGTTGGCTCCTGCCCATAGCGCCCGTGGGCAGGGCCAGGTGCTACGGTAGCACTGACCTTTGACATCAGGTGACCGAGAGTGGCCCCTTGCCCAGGTGTCCCAGAGGCCCAGGAGGGGTCCCCGTCCCTGCCCCCAGACCTTCCCCACCATCTCTCAGACCCCCACACTGCCCTCCCTCTGTCCAGCTGCCTGTGACATGTGGGATACACAGACACACACACACACACACACACACACACACACACACACGCACACACCCTCTTCTGGGGTTTCCATTACCTGGAAAACCCCTTTCCCGGCAGCTCCCGGTGCCAGGGCAAGAAGAGAAACTTGCATGAGGGGGGAGAGGGAGTGGAGGGCTGCCTGGAGGAAGAAATCACACAGAATCTGGCCCAGGGTGGGGGGGTGGTGGCGGGCGTCCCACCGAGGGGCTCTGAGCCCTGCAACCCAAACAGCTCTTTCCTCAACAGAGGAGGAAATGTTCCTTGCACAGAGCAGAATTAGCATTCCTCGACCGTTTCTTTTTTTTTTTTTATTGGCATAAAGCCCACATTATCTCTATTGATCATCCATGGGTTATTGCTGCTAACACTATCTCTTGGCTAGCCTGGTCAGGAGGAAGGAGATTAGCTCCCCAGAGACCGGAAGTGGGGAGGGCACTCGCCTGGCATGTGGCCAACCCGAGTTCAATCCCCCGAATCACATATGGTCCCAGTCCCTGCCAGGAGTGGTCCTTGGGTGCAGTCAGGAGTAAGCCCCGGGTACTGGTGAGTGGGGCAGAGGGGTGGGGGGGGAGAGAGGGAGAGGAAGAGGGAGGGAGAGAGAGAGGGAGAGAGAGAGGAAGAGAGAGGAAGAGAGGGAGAGAGGGAGAGAGGAAGACAGGGGATCCCAAAGGGAGGGAGGGAGAGAGCGGGAGGCGGCCCTGCTGTGCTGTCACGGGGAGCATGACCCGGGCTCTTTAGCGTGTCCACGGCAGGGCAGCCCGTGAGGACACCCTAAAGGGAATGCTCCGGCCCTGAGCGTTCGTCCTTCCATCCCGGCTAAACTCAGAGAACGCCTGAGTGTGTTTGCCCGCACGCCTGCCTGCACGGTGTGAGTGTGTGTGTGTGAGCATGTCTTGGGCTTGTGTGTGAGCGGGCGTGAGCTTATGCCTAGGAGTGAGTGTGAATGTGTGTGTGAGCGTGTGTGAGCATGTATGAGTTTATTTATTTATTTTGCTTTTTGGGTCACACCTGGCGATGCACAGGGGTTCCTCCTGGCTCAGTGCTCAGGGATTACTCCTGGTGGTGCTCAGGGGACCCTAGGGGATGCTGGGAATCAAACCCGGGTTGGCCACGTGCAAGGCAAACGCCCTCCCCGCTGTGCTATCGCTCCAGCCCTGCATGTGTGAGTTTATACCCAGGCGCGGGTGTGAGCATGTGTATGTGTCTGCTCGGGCCCCGGATGGCTCATTTCCCTCAGTGCTCGCCTGAAGCCACGGGGCAGAGACCCGCTGAGGGCAGAGGGGCTGCTCTGGGCTCCCTCCACCGGGCGCCGACTCGAGCAGCTCCTGAAACTCACCCCGGGGCCTTCCCAGCCTGCCCCCACCACCTTCTTGGGGGCTTCACTGAGCATCAGTAATGGAGTTGGGGATGGTGCTCACGCCTGGGACAGGGGCCCAGCCCGTCATGAAGCCCCCCGGCCCCCCAACTCATCAGGGACCCCCTTGCTCAGGGACAGGAACCCAAATGGGGCAGGAGCAAATATTTATTTTTTACTGTACGAGGACAGACAGTCCCGCTGGGCCCTGCCTCAGTCTCCTCCCAGGGCTGTGCCACGCCCTCAGGGCATGACCTGGTCACCTCCCACAGAGCTGCCCCACCGACGGCCCTCAGGGTCACGGCTTCCACACCCCAGCTGATGCCTCGGCCCCACAACATACCCACGCGGCCACACAACATACCCACGCGGCCACACAACATGCCCTCGCGGCCACACAACATACCCACGCGGCCACACAACATGCCCACGCGGCCACACAACATGCCCACGCGGCCACACAACATGCCCACGCGGCCACACAACATACCCACGCGGCCGCTCAGGGAGGCAGCTTCCAGCTGGCACCAAGCCAGGGAGTGTTGAGTCAGGTGCAAGGAAGACCCAGCACCCAATACCAGGGTCTGTCCCTGCCCCCCTGCCCTGGCTGGCTTGTTCCCCGCCACCTGGTTTCAGGGCTCAGGTTCCCGCCAGAGCCCCAGGCCTGCAGGCAGGAGGCAGGCTCAGACGCAGAGGGCACTGGGCAACAGAGAGGAAGACAGAGACAGACACAGAGACAGAGACACAGAGAGACAGACACAGAGAGACAGAGACACAGAGATAGAGAGACAGAGGCAGAGACAGAGAGAGACAGAGGCAGAGAGAAAGACAGACACAGAGAGACAGAGACAGAGAAAGAGAGACAGAGACAGAGGCAGAGAGATAGAGACAGACACAGAGACAGAGACAGACACAGAGACAGAGAGAGACAGAGGCAGAGAGACAGAGACAGACGCAGAGACAGAGACAGACACAGAGACAGAGAGACAGAGGCAGAGAGACAGAGACAGACGCAGAGAGACAGAGAGAGACAGACACAGAGACACAGAGACAGAGACACAGAGACATAGAGACACAGCGAGACAGACACAGAGAGACAGAGACACAGAGATAGAAAGACAGAGGCAGAGACAGAGAGAGACAGCGGCAGAGAGACAGAGACAGACACAGAAAGAGACAAAGACAGAGACAGAGACACAGAGACAGAGAGACAGAGAAAAGAAGTGGCTGTCATACAGGCAGGCGTGGGGGCAGGAGGAAACCTGGGGACATTGGTGGTGGGAAGTGGGCACTGGTGAAGGGACGGGTGGGGGAACATGGCATGACAGATACTCTATCGTGAGCAGCTTTGTAACTGTGTGTCGCAATTTAAAAAATTGCGATTCAATTAAAAAAAACTGATTTAATATTTTTTTTAAAAAATTGGCTTTTCGGGGGCTGGAGCGATAGTCCAGCGGGGAGGGCGTTTGCCTTGCCCGCAGCTGACCTGGGTTCCACCCCCGGCATCCCATAGGGTCCCCCGAGCACCACCGGGTGTCATTCCTGAGTGCAGAGCCAGGAGGAACCCCTGAGCATGGCCAGGTGGAACCCAAAAAGCAAAAAAAAATTGGCTTTTGGGGTCACACCCAGTGATACTAGTGGTTCCTCCTGGCTCTGCACTCAGGAATGACACCCGGTGGTGCTCGGGGGACCACTGTAGGGGATGCTGGGGACTGAACCCGGGTTGGCCGCGTGCAAGGCCAATGCCCTCCCCGCTGGACTATTGCTCTGGCCTCAGTAAAAAGATGTTTTCAAGC